GATGACAGGTCAAGAAGTGGTCGCCCTCGGTCTGTTCGGACTGCAGCAGTGATAAAAGCTGTGAAGGCGCGAATTCAAAGAAATCCCAAACGTAAGCAGAAACTGTTGGCCCTTCAGATGGGGTTAAGCAGAACCACGGTGAAAAGGGTGTTAAATGAAGACTTAGGGCTTCGGGCATATCGAAGAAAAACAGGACATCGTTTGAATGCTCGTCTAATGGACCTGAGACTGAAGAGATGCCGCGCTTTGTTGAAGCGGTACGCGGGAAAAAAATATCGGAAATTTTTTTTCGGATGAAAAAATTTTTACCGTAGAAGAGAGTTACAACAAACAAAATGATAAGGTGTACGCACACAGGAGTGAAGAAGCGAGCAACCGTATTCCGCGTGTCCAACGAGGTCATTTTCCATCCTCGCTCATGGTATGGTGTTATGGACTATGGTTGGGAGTTTCTTATTGGGGCTTAACAGAGGTACATTTTTGTGAGAAAGGTGTAAAACGAATGCAGTTGTGTATCAAAATACAGTCCTGACAAACCTTGTGGAACCTGTTTCTCATACCATGTTCAATAACAGGCACTGGGTATTCCAACAAGATTCGGCGCCAGCTTATAGAGCGAAGAGCACACAAGACTGGCTGGCGGCGCGTGAAATCGACTTCATCCGGCACGAAGACTGGCCCTCCTCCACCTGGCAACACTTGGAGGAAAAGGCGTGCTCAAAGCCTCATCCCAATTTGGAGTCACTCAAGACATCCTTGATTAAGGCAGCCGCCGATATTGACATGGACCTCGTTCGTGCTGCGATAGACGACTGGCAGCGCAGATTGAAGGCCTGTATTCAAAATCACGGATGTCATTTTGAATAAACTTTAGTGTCATAAGAATCTATGTTTTGTTAAGTTCATTTTGGTATATAAATGGTTACATAATGAATAAACTTGTTTCAATTATTTTATATTAAACATGTGACAGAATTTATGACCTGACTAGCTATATTCATAATTTATTTATTTTATTGTTTTTATTAATATTAGTATGTTTGCGTATATATTTTATATATTTATATATATATACAGGGTATTTTTGGAACGCTCCCGAAAACTAAGACAGGCGACAGCACCAAGTATACCTTTGATCATGGGTCACAAATAAATTTGATCCTGATGAAAAAAAATCATATTTTTACAACGTTTTATTAGCTTTATTCACGCGCCATCATGTTAGTACAGCTAAATGAATCGATAATTTCATAAAAAAAATCATGAAAATACTGAAACATAAAACCAGCAGTGGAAACTGAATTGATATCACCTGACTAATGGAGGTTAATGTACGCGCGAACGGTGAAAAAAGAACGCTGGCCTTAAACTTGGACACTGAGCGATTTATCACATATAGGTACGAAGGGGCGCGACGGGGGAACAATCCGACAGTATTACTGTGCCTGCATGCTATTGGTTCCCGCGCTTTGTTCGCTCCAAAAATACAGTCGCATACACAGCTTACTTTGCGACTCGCGACGATGTTTTAAAAAGGAAGGAAACAAAAATTATTTATATCTATTGTTTTATGACTAAACTAGTGAACGAAAAGGTAAATATGATAGGAGAAGGTGAATGGGGAAAATTGTGCAGTAAAGTGTTGATGGAGAATACCGAAAAAATTACCATGTGATCGACCTGATGACGGAAGCTCAAGCGAAGATGAAAGTGATGATGAAGTAGCATCCAGTAACACCAACACACCATCAACATCTGACTTTCATGTGACCCAAGACGTCATAATGGACGGCGTGTCACCCTTAGCTTAAGTTTTTTTTGTTACAAACTACTTTATATTTTACGATAGAAATAACAAATAGTTAATGCTCAAGTAAACATTATCCATTTTTAATTCCCACCTCTTCCAAAGTTCTAAGTAAATAGTAAAACACCTATTATGATTCTACAATTAAACAATTAATTACTATAATATTATAAAACAATAGCCCAATACCATGTAGTACTTTAGAACGCGACTGTACCCACACTCTCTCCGCTGTCGACCTGTATCTAGCTCGGTACGAAACAATGCTGCGGTCGTAAGAAAAAAGGGCGCATTTAACAATTTTTGAATAAATGAGTTAAATATACCATGACTCATGATAAGAAGGCGCATCTACTAAATTTTTTTATTATTCACAAATATCAATATTTTAGAAATTATCGTAAGAATTTTAGACGTAACTGTCACAGATGACATCTTTTTATTAGAAAAGACTTATACAAATTCAACATAAAAGAAAAGACTTATTTAACCAGTGGCTACGTCATCTTTAACAATATTTGCATCGATTACTTAAATTTCAATTATTCTTGTGTTTTTATTCTATATCTTATTATTAAGAGCTTATATCTTATTACTAAGAGCTGGTGTTTCACATGTGGTCCCATATAAATTTGATCGAGGTCAGACCAATAGTTTTTGAGTCATCCTTAATTATTTATATTAGTCGGTTGTACTAAATTTTTAATTATTATCGTAGTAAGTCTTGTATGATATCCCCTTTAAAATCATTACTCAAGAGTTGCGGGTTGTTATTTTTTGTGTCTGACTACCAATGCTTTTCTAATATTTACTAAGAAAAAAGTAGTAAATTACTATTAGTGTCCTTTCAACTTCAAATGACCTTTCCAAAATATGTAAAAATGTTAAATGAATGGCAGTTTTTTTTTCATTTATTAGGTTGGGAAGACGCAAATAGTTATATGCGCCTTTCCTTCGATGTTTTTGTGTTGCCAGGTGTATTTTTTAATCTAAAATGAAAAGGAAAATTCGTTTTATTTAAATAAATAAACAAATTATCAAAAAAATAAGTTCGTCCTTAAAATCTTCATGTCTCTACGTACATATTTCAATTTTCATATAGATACCTTTTAATATACTTTAGACACGGGGTCTGAAAGAAAAATTCATAAATTTATTTTTTATTTCCATTTTACGTTTTTGTTAGGTGCGTCCTTCTTTATTTTGACGGCAGAATGTAACCCGGCCGGCTCGTGTCGCCTCACGCTGTGACGCAGTAGGTTTCAATTTTGTCGGGGTTCGTTATTAATTGTAGTTTTTGAAACAGTTCCGTGTTGATTTTGTACACGCGTGCGCGAGCGACAGCTCAATCGTTTTCTTTATTAAATTGTTAATACTTGTGATTACCTGTTGGTATTATTCTTGTTGTTACGTTTTTTGTTTTAATAATGCTTAACGCGTACGTTTATAGTGATTATGAATACGGCAACATGTTAGGTATCCGAACCTAGGTACACGAAGCATCGCTAAATAAATTGTTAAGACGTCGGGGTGGAACAAGTGTGTCATACTGTGCAGTGCACAAAGTGTTGAAGCGTAACCAATGCGCCCATACAAATTGCACAAAGTGCAAGCTTTAGTTTCCGGCGATCACGACCGCCGACGAGTTTTCTGCCGTTGGTTATTATACCAGCAACAACGTGTGCCTGGTTCCATTGAGCACATTATCTGGACGGATGAGTCGACATTTACCAGAAACGGCCTGTGGAACCGAAGAAATACACACGTGTATTCAGAGGTTAACCCGCACGCTGTTCGACAAACCGGGCACCAAACCCGATGGTCGGTTAACGTATGGGCAGGTTTATTTAAGGATCGCATACTGGGACCAGTGTTTCTGCCAGAGCGACTGAACGGACAGCGATACCTAAACTTTATAAATGAACAGTTGGTTGACATTTTAAACGACCTATCGTTGGCTGAATATCGCCGCACATGGTTCCAACATGATTGTGCCCCTCCACATTTCGTGAGGTTCGTCCGTGAGCGCCTCAATGAGCTATTTGATGATCGCTGGATCGGCAGACTAGGACCACACGCTTGGCCACCTCGCTCACCAGATCTGACTCCGTTAGACTTCTTTTTGTGGGGTATGTGAAAGAAAGGTTTTTTATTCGTGAATGTGATAGTGCTGAAGAAAAGCGCCAAAGGATCGTGGATGCTTTCGAGAAACTACGTACGGACTGTGTCGAAGACCACACGATGATGCCCCGCCTGCACCCAAATCTACCTTGAAATGAATGGAGCACAATTTGAGCCGCATCTCATAAGACCACGGAGGATTTAGAGCGGTAAGCTGTTTCATACCTATTTTTTTTATAACTTAGTACTAGACTAATCTGAATAGGTACATAACTGAATACATGAGAATAATAAACATACCTACACGATGAATAAAAACTCATGACTCCAACCTTGGTTACATTTCATTTAAGTATTTTTTCATTAGCGGGGAATCGAACCAGTTATTTGGGTTATTTAATCTGTAAATTCGGATTAAAGTGGCTAAGTGGAGACAAGCACAGTGGCAAAATAGTAGGTTAAGTAGATAAGTTAGGTATTTAGACAAGTGTTGTAAATTATTAGATATTGTGGTATGGCCCGCTAGTTGCGGGCAGCGCGAATTTGCGTTCGCGCGTACATTGACCTTTCAGTCGGGTGATATAAATTCAGTCATTCCACTGCTGGTTTTATGTTTCAGTATTTTCATGATATATTTTATGAAATTATCGTTTCATTTAGCTGTACTAACATGATGGCGCGTGAATAAAGCTAATAAAACGTTGTAAAAAGATGATTTTTTTTCATCAGGATCGAATTTATTTGTGACCCATGATCAAAGGTGTACTTGGTGTTGTCGCCTGTCTTAGTTTTCGGGAGCGTTCCAAAAATACCCTGTATATATATATATATATATATTACTAGCTGCTCACCGCGACTTCACCCGCGTGTAATATGAATTTTATTACGATTGGATTTCATTCGCTGGACCTTAATTCTTTTTCTAAAATAAAAGTAGCCTAAGTTATGTCATATAACGTCAGCTATTTGTCAGTGAAAGTCCCGTCAAAATCGGTCCAGCCGTTTCGGAGATTAGCCGGAACAAATAGACAGACAGACAAAAATTTTAAAAGTTGATTTTTTTTTGTTATATGTACCGTTTAAAGGGTTATTTTTCAAAGAGTGGCAAAATTGTAGATTGAAGTTCAAATAAATAAATTATTATATACCGAGATTACATTTTTTGAAACTACGAGTAAATAAGACTTCCACTTTTATTTGAAAAAATTATCCCAAATTGAATGTGATTTATGGATAACAACTACTCTGATTCAATTCGTTTTAGTTTTTCAAGTTTTTGCCTACTGTTTACTTTCTCAGTGATACGCTTACTACTTATGCTTAAGATAATAACTACATGACGCGAATTATGATTCCAATTTCCCTTTTACACTTTTAACGGGCTTAAGATCGTCATAATAAATAATATTTTTTTGCTTACCAATGACGTAACCGACAACTGTCCTTGTTATAGCGTGTTAAAAAATTGGAATAAACTATTTACAATTAAATTACGCAAGTAGTCCCAACATCTAATATCGGTTGGATTCTGACGGTGTCTGACGATATTATCGACTGGCGAGTTGAGAAAAACCGAACTGGTTGCTTCCGTGCAGTCGGGGGCTTCCGAAGATTGCCGAACGGTCACGGATCAACGGGCCATATTCTTTATGCATAGACGAGCACGTTTTGTTAAAATATTTTCTACTTAATTGTTCTTGAGCACTTAACTTCCGTGAAAGCAGCAATAATTTTACTGTAGCGATCTTCATAAATTTGGACCTATTTGACGTAAATACGACTTTTTATACACAGATAAAATAGTAATGGTGAAAGTTTCGGCATGTTTGCAGATTCACTACTTAAGTTATCACTCACTACACTTGAATAGTTTGATTTGATTGGTAGGTTAATTACAACACGTGCGCTAATTTATCACCGCGGTAAAGACTCATTTTAGTATCTTTGTATGTACCACGTAAACTATCATTGCTTAAAACGTAATATTCACATGTAATATTAAATACATTTAAAAAACGTAATATTAAAGAATATTTTCGTTACGTCATTGGTAACGAAGCGAACGTAATGAGCTCACGGTCAACTCTGTCGGCTGCCGGCCAGGCGAGCAGACATAGGTACTTACGGTGTAACGATATAAGGGAGTGGGAAGACGCACAAAAATGTATTTTACCGAGCGTAAGGGTTTACGAATTTGTGCGTGCGAGGTAAAATCAGTTAAAATAATGAATTACCACAAAAATGACAGTCTGAGATTTTTTAAATTAATATATCTTCACCATTTGCCTGTATTACTTAATCTGAACCTTCTCTGCAAATTTGGCTGGTAATTGTAAAATAACCCTGTATACTTGCATATGCATATAGTAAAAAGCTGTAATTTTAACATTTTTTTAGCACCTACCAACTTTTATTTATTTATTTCTCCCAGGGTTGACTGGTAGAGAATGCCTTAAGACATTAAATCCGATAATTATAATAACCCTTAGAGTAAGGTGTATTACGATAAAGATTAATTAAATAAGTGAAAACCGAAATACGACTGCGAATTCAAATTTCAACCATTCGCCTAATTAAATTCTAAAACAATTTCTCACCGTACTGGGTGAATGAGATGCGAATAAGGTGCGAGTGAGATGGTACGAGATCGGCGAGTTCAGCGGCCATTTATGTCTATTCTTTGTTGGTACGCCATAAATTATGTATCTATATGAATGTGTCATTTTTCATTAACAGCTACATATCTATCATCTACTTGCAAATTTTAATTGCACCACTCAATAGCTAAAGGATTAAAGAATGCGTTACGTTGAGTGAGGACTGTGAGGCATCGCGCGCGGAGGGGGGAGCGCCGTCTATTTTAGTTAACAATAGATCACTGCAATCGGGTTCTTCGTTTTTTATCATTTGTTCGTCGCAGATTTATGGTACTTTATGGTAAAATAAATTATTTTTGCATAGTATATTTTAATATTATTACAATGTTTTCATCGTACTCAGTAAAATTATTAGATCATCATCATCATCATTACAGCTCTCACAAGTCCATTGCTGAACATAGGTTTCAACCCAAGGAATGCCACAAAGAACGGTCATCGACCTCCCGCATGTCTTATCGTCGTCGGTCGTCATTCCATCTAGTGGGGGTCGCCCTCCACTTCGAGGCTGCCACTCTAGAAACTTTTTATTAGATAGTATGTTATAATTACTCAATTTAAATATCATAATTTTATCACTAAATATTTTTTCATTTGGTGTTTCTTAGATATGACTTCTTTTACTAAAAAAAAAGTCAACCAAATAACTAATTATTCAATGATTATTATATCTATTTAATAAACTATTGGTAATCAATACATGGTAAAATCAATTATAAATATTTTCCATGCCATTTGTGATCGAATGGTGACAGCATTTTATGACATCCCCCCATGTTATTTTGTATGATGTACTTCATAGTATATGGATTTTGATTATTTTCTTCTTTCCATTTTTCTTCAGCTTCCATTTTTTCCATTATTTTTTGAGATACTGCCATGGCTTTAAACGGAAGTCTTTCTGCCACTATTTTTAACATTTTATATGCCTGATATGAAAAAAAAATGAAAAATATTAATATAATAAGTTCATTATAAAGAGTTTTTGTTTAGATGTATCAAAGTTTAGCATATATAGTGAAGTGTATCCTTATATTTGGTAAATATAAATATAAAGTTTAAGGATAAACTTTTAGGAACTATTTTTATAGAGATAAAAATGCTTAAAGCAAAATACCATATCATACTCAAATAAGAAAAACAATTTGTCGATAATTTTTACATTACTTTAATCCATTTCTTCGTCATTAATTACAACCTATTCCTAGCCTATATACAAAACGTCGAATGCTCAACGTAGGCCAGCCCCATTAGATTGCCTTATAGGGGGAATATTTAGCATAGTTGCTATGCATGGCAGGTGGGTTGACAATACAGTATTGCATGCCTTAAGAGCAAAGCGCGTAGGTATGTTCTACTAGCGCCTAAAAATCAAGATCCCAACGTTTTGTCGCATGAAATCGTATCTAACAATCATATTAAACATATAAATGATATAAAAAGCACATTGTCAGAAAGATAAATGATTGTTGAACTTATTAATTTATCATTATCAATATGTTATCAGGAAGATGCTGCTGCCCATCTCTTGTTATGGTTTTTCTCTGTCGTTCCTTACGACACCCACGGGATGACTTGAGGTAGTGGATTATTTTACATCAGCATTACTTAGCTAATTGTTACTTAATTCCAAAAACGTAAATTCACTTTTCTCGTGATGGTACCTGTACAGTGAGCACAGTGACAGCACTCACTTCACTAAAGCGAATTTAAGTTCTGCGCGTACTATACGCTGGTATTCTGTGGGAGCATGGTGATTCCTCGGTTGAGGCAACCTAGTCATACTGCGAAAAACGTAAAGAATATACTACTAAGCTTATTTTATTGAATATTTTATTTTTAAACTTACTTCTGCATATTCACATTTTCCTCCTACTTCGAGGATTACTCTACCAGCTTTAATGGGAGTAACATAATGATCAATTGCACCCTTGCCACCTCCCATTCGCTGACCTTGACCCTTTTTCGTGACAGGCTGCCAAGGTGGGTCAACACGCCAGATGGCAAACATCCTTTTCATATCCAAATGCCGAGCAACAACCAAACGTGCCATCTCAAAATGCTTGTGAGCAAGTCTGCCTCCACCTAGCGCCTGTAAATAAACTTGTGTAAATGAATTTAGGTTCGACAAAAAATGAGATTGACTTCATTATGACGACCAGACGATAACTGTCCAGTGATGTCTCCGTGATCGCGAGGGTGAAAACTGGTAGCGATTACCGAATGGTTAGAGGCACACTGAACCTAAACGTTAAGTTGGAGAGGTCTCGTCTAATGAAGTCAACGCTCCGTCCCCCTCGTGCTCTGTTCCAAAGTCCCGAAACCTTTCAGCTCGAGTTACAAAACCGTTTTCAGTGCCTAGAAGACTGCAATGAAGTGGACGATATGAATCACAAGCAAGCAAGACAAGCTCGTGGAAACTGTCCATGCGGTCGGAGCTAAGTTCTGCAAGACCCGCCGCAGAAGAACACAAAAACTCTCCGATAACACTCTTAATCTCATGGCTGTTAGACGGGAGATGAAGCTACATTCTTCAACAGACTTGACAGCATACAGGCATCTGAACAGACAGATCTCCAAATGCATGCGGCGGGACTTACGCAACTTCAATACAGCTCGTATTGAAGAAGCGATCGAGCGGAACCAAGGCTCCAAAGTCTTTGCCAGAGATCTGTCTGCCAGAAAGAGCCAACTGTCAAAGCTGAAGACAGAATGTGGCAGCATCGTTTCCGGGACACCTGAGATTTTGAGTGAGATTGAGAGGTTCTATGGGCGTTATCTATATATCATCGTTGGAGCCACACGCAAGTGTGAGTAACGATCCAAGAGCGAGTCTCATCCGACACTATTCCGAAGATATCCCGGACGTCAGTCTGAGCGAGATTAGAATGGCTCTCCAGCACCTTAAAAACGGTAACGCCCCAGGCGAGGATGGAATTACAGCGGAGCTTCTGAAAGCGGGTGGAAGACCGGTACTTGAAGTCCTTCAGGAGCTCTTTAATTCCGTCCTCCATGGTGGCATTACACCGGAGGCGTGGAGCAGAAGTGCGGTGGTCTTGTTCTTCAAGAAAGGTGACAACGCTCTCTTGAAGAACTACAGACCGATTTCCCTACTGAGCCGCGTCTACGTGCTGTTTTCGAGAGTTATTACGAATCGTCTCGCGCGCAGACTTGACGACTTCCAGCCTCCCGAACAAGCCGGTTTCCGAAAGGGCTTTAGCACCATAGACCACATACATACCCTTCGGCAAATTGTACAGAAGTCCGAAGAGTACAATTTGCCACTATGTCTGGCGTATGTGGACTATGACAAAGCCTTTGATTCCGTCGAAATTTGGGCGGTGCTGCAGTCCCTTCAGCGGTGCCAAGTTGACTGTCGGTATATCGAAGTGTTGAAGTGCTTGTACAGTAGGGCTACGATGGCTATCCGAGTACAGAATCAGAGTACGAAACCTATCCAATTGCAGAGAGGTGTAAGACAGGGTGACGTCATATCCCCGAAACTCTTCACCGCTGCATTGGAAGACGTTTTCAAGCTTCTGGACTGGAAAGGATACGGTATCAACATCAATGGCGAGTACATCACTCACCTTCGATTTGCCGACGATATAGTCCTTATGGCAGAATCGCTGGAGGACCTAAGCACTATGCTCAATGACCTCGATAGTGTTTCCCAACGGATAGGTCTTAAGATGAACATGGACAAAACAAAGATCATGTTCAATGTCCATGTCACACCTATGCCGGTAGTTGTTGGGAGCACTAAGCTCGAAGTTGTTGACGAGTATGTTTACCTGGGACAAATAGTCCGATTAGGTAAGTCCAACTTCGACCGAGAGGTCAATCGACGGATTCAACTCGGCTGGGCAGCGTTCGGGAAGCTACGACACATCTTCTCGTCAGACATACCTCAAAACCTGAAAACGAAATTGTACAACCAGTGCGTGTTGTCAGTGATGACTTACGGAACTGAGACGTGGTCCTTCACTGCTGGCCGTATGAGGAAGCTCAAGGTCGCTCAGTGAGCTATGGAGAGGGCTAAGCTCGGAGTTTCTCTGTGTGATAAACTTAGGAATGAGTATATCCGCAGTAGAACCAGAGTAACCGACATAGCCCAACGGATTAGTAAGCTGAAGTGGCAGTGGGCCGGCTATATAGCTCGAAGAACCGACAACCGATGGGGAAGAAAGGTTCTCGAGTGGCAGCCTCGTACCGGTAGGCGAAGTATAGGGCGTCCCCCCACGAGATGGAGTGACGACCTGGTCAGACATTCAGGAAGTCGATGGATGCAGGTGGCTCAGGACCGTGCTTTGTGGCATTCTTTGGGGGAGGCCTATGTTCAGCAGTGGACTTGTGAAGGGCTGTAATGATGATGATGATGATGATGATGATGAAATGAATTTAGGTGTACCACATTGCTTGACTTTGTACTAAGAATAGAGAAACTGGTTAATAAGTAAAATTGTAGGCAAGTCAAGGAGAAAATGATTTAAAGAATGCTAATAATAACATGTTTTCCTTTATTTCATTTTCACATATACACATACGTATAGCACAAGGTTGATATCTTCTAGTAAGTAAATAGCAATAGTCTTGTAGCAGAATATGTCACTTTTTAATAAAATTACATGTATGAAACCAATAACTTTGTTTCTTTAAGATAGTTCTTTCTTTAACAGCATTTCTAATACACTGTTATATGAAGATTTTGTCCCACCGATAATACTGCTCTCTTCTATCAATAAGAGTTACATCTAAACTGGTCTACTAGGGATCAAGATCTCGGAAGACCTTGCTGCCACTGTTGCTAAACCCTCGTAATATAGTTCCGAGTTGTGCAATCATTACAGGCATTTTCATATGGCAGTTAATGGAATTTTGTTTTATGTAAGAAAATTAGAAGCTAGAGTTTCCCAAGCTAGCTGTATCCTGTACCAAAAATTTTGAGTTCACCGACATCCTGAAAAGCGATTCATCACTACTAGCATTATCTGCAGATAATATGTACTATGCAGTATAAGATTATCCACCACCACATTCTGTACCCATCGGCATCATAAGAAGCGATTATGGAAAATGCCATAAAAACCTCATGAATACAGATAGATGGCTGTACAATCATCTCGTTTACACCAGTCAAAAATAATCCAGGCCGGCGAATGATAGCAGCGTCCAAAATGCAAGACGTTTAGTACAGCGATCATCAAACTGCTTGTGAAGCGTGACGATTAAGGCAAATTCTACCTTCAAAAAGAGAAACCAATGTCCAGCACTGAACTTTTACGAGCTGATGAAAAAGAAAATGCATACTTAACTCTTAGTGCCCCTAGTCAGTACGCCATGTGGGAAGGGCAGCTAGAGAAATCTAGGTGCCCTTGCCCTATGGCGTAGTGACTAGAGGTAGTCGGTGACCATAAGGTAGACACAGACCAATAACAAAGCCGTTAAAGAAACTGACATTAGTCACTAATTTTCAAAGTATGAATTACTTGCCCTTGTTCACACGGGTGCATTACCCATCGGAATATCGGACGCACGAATGATATGGAACTGTAGCTACCAACACTTATTTTTCATAAGGGAAGTACTCTTCCAACTAGGTAAGACACATCAGTTTTATATTTCACGTCTACTACACTACTACGTATAATGGATTTTCGCACTAGAAATGCGAGATTCTATCAATTATCTTAGACATTATGTTGTCAAAAGCATACAATATGTTGGACTCAATGGTTGAAAACTGTATTCCAAAGCACATTACAAGCATTAACCTCTGGCATGTAGGAGGTGAAGGAACAACACTACCACTGCTCCACAATTTCGCAAGCGGACCAATCAACAAATGAAGCAAAAATCGCGTTATCAAGGTTTCTGAAGAAATTGCCTATTTTAAAAAAAATGTACTACACACAGAGCATTGCCCAGAGATGTCACTGTATCTTATAATGAAAACTAACAAGGACAGACAGTTGCCACAAGGCCTTAAGTCTGTCCTTTATATCCCTTATTATAAGGTAGACGTAAAAAAGAATAAATAAATAAATCGAACCAGAACAAATGAAATTATTTATTACAATTACCACACTTAGTGATAACAACTATCCTTTTCTGCCAGAGTTAGCCTGAGTTGGTGCCACCCTCTTAATTACAGACAGAAGTGTCCTCCCTCCCACCCTCTTTGTATTAAGTGGATTGCAGGCATAGTTTGCCTAATATAGACATTGCTACTTACCATCTCATGGACTGGTAACTCATTTGTTGCTTTTATGGGATAGAATAGAATAGAATAGAATAGAATAGAATAGAATAGAATAGAATATTTTTTATTCAATATACATTACATGTGTAATTCTTATTGAAAGTCATTTTTTACTTTACCACTGGTTCGAAAAAAACCCTCTGTCCTGGGAAGAACCAGCAAGAAACCCAGCGGGACTTTTTTTTAAAATAAATTTTACAATATAAATGATTACGAACTATTTACAAAATTTATTTTAGAAACTGCTTGGAAGCGATCACCTCATTCCCAGGGGTTATTATCAACCATGTATTCATTTATACTATAATAACCCTTTTTATACAGTTTCAGCTTAATAAAACATTTAAACTTGGTAATAGACAGAACCTGTACACTTTCCGGGACCTTGTTGTAATAGCGTAGGTATACATTGCCCCAAGAATGAATTACTGACTCTGTGGAGTCGAGAAACTGGTATCACTAGCTTGTGTTTGTTCCTAGTGTTTACAGAATGTATATCACTTCTTTTACTAAAACTATCTTTGTTTTTGTGAACATACATTAAATTTTCGTAAATATACTGAGAGGCCAAAGTTAATATATTAATTTCTTTAAATTTATCTCTAAGAGACTCTCTCGGTTTTAGATTGTAAATAGCTCTAATGGCCCTCTTCTGTAAAACAAAAATAGTTTCTGAATCAGCCGCATTTCCCCATAGCAAAATCCCATAAGACATTATGCTATGAAAATAACTAAAATAAACTAATCTAGCTGTCTCGACACTAGTGAGACCTCTAATCTTTTTTACAGCATAGGCTGCAGAACTTAGTCTGCTTGCTAATTTGGATATATGGGGGCCCCACTGGAGCTTTGCGTCAAGAGTGATGCCAAGAAAAACAGTGGATACAACAGGGCTCAATTCCTCCCCATTTAAAAACACATTGGTATTCAGATTTTGAACATTCGTTGTTGTAAATTTAACACAATTAGTTTTATTTCCGTTCAAATGCAGATTATTAACGTTAAACCAATGCACTAATTTTGATATAGCATTATTCACTTCGTCACATTTAAATGATTGACGTTTAAGTTTAAAAATCAAGGAAGTATCATCAGCAAATAATACTATATCATGACTATCCCCTACAAGGTGAGGTAAGTCATTAATATACACCAGAAACAGGAATGGGCCGAGAATCGAGCCCTGAGGTACACCCATTAGTACAGGTGACCCGGAAGAACTTTTACCATTGATAATAACCTTCTGTTTTCTATTACTTAAATATGAAATAATAAGTTTAAGCGCTGTGTTCTTGACACCATACCACATAAAGATAGGACTTGCTGCAGTCAGGCATCTGGTTCACTGATACCACAATTCACAACCAAAATGTCCATAAATGGCGGGCACGTGTCATACAATTACCGGTTTTTATCACTGCAATCACTGTCTGCTTTTGAGTTTAATTATTTTAGCGCGGCGAATTATTGATGCGGGGTTATGATGAACCTCCTAATTATGATGAAATCCTTTTAAGGAATTTGCGGAACTCAGGCGTACAGGCGCGTTATCGACGCGGAGATCAATCATAGACTGAAGAGGTAGGGTGCAATCGGAAGTAGGAAGGCGACGAAAGTATGAGTGAACGAGTGATTAGCGAATGTAATAGTTAGATGAGTGTATGTATAAAATGGCCAATCCAGCTTTAATATTAAAACTAATTTCCTCAGTTTCCCTTAACAACATAGTACTTATCACAAATTTTTTGTTGTGTTTAATTATTATCGACATTGTAACTTAACAAAAATGTACTTACAATAACGCCATACTGTTTTAATTGTAGCTTGTTGTGCAATGTTTCAGGACCTCTCATATACCTTAATCTTTTCTGCATCTTTGGTGGTTTCAAATTTGGTGGATACAATGGTACCTTTTCAAACATACGCAATCTTGGACGTTCAGGTATTTCGATATCTGTAATAAGTATTGTCAATATTGTCAAATCGTTAACAGAAATATGCAACAACGATGAAGTCTTAAATTGGTTGTACTGGTCAAAGTAATATGTGGGTACACTGAAAGTTTTGCATAACTCATAAATAAAACTATTTACACCTATATGTAAAGTGTAAACTAACATATTTACTGTTTTTCAAAATATTCTCCATTACATTTTAAGGCACTTTCTCATTAGTTCGAATAATTTTTGAAAGCTTAAGTACCATTTTTTGGAGGGCATGTTCTTCAGGTGCTAATTGATGTAGTGGTGGTGCTATTACGGCCTCTTTTGACTCTGTAAATGTCAAACTTCTCATCAAATATTAGATTTTTGGGAAAATAAGGGAATAGCATGGTAAGCGGGGTCTTGACTGTGTGCGGGATGTATCACAAGCTCCATCTTTTCACAAGCCTAAAATGACTTTGTCTTGTTCGCGGTGTGCGCCCAAGCATTGTCATGGTACAATGGGATGCGATTTCTTGATCGTTTTTTCAAAGACACTGGGTTAACAAATAGTGGTGTAGGTACATAGTGTCTTTTAACTGTCTGTTGCTCATCAACGATCCCTTCGTGCAGACAGGACCCGTCTGGGAGAATAAAACGCAATTTTTTTTGCCCACGCCTTTAGCCTGTCTCAACTTTGTTGTTTTGCTGTCGTCTTTGAACATCCACACTACAGAACACTTTTCTTTCTTTCCAGAATGTAATAATACATTAACAACATTTTTTTACATGAATCAACTCGAGCCCGTTTTTGTTCTGGGGTGAGTTCATGAGGAATAGGGCATCAACAGTGTTATAACTTTAAAATATGATGCAAAATTCATTTCAATTTGGCATACCAATACCCAAAATCCCTCGAACCTCCTCACATGTGTTTCCACATTTTCCTGTAATCCACAGTGATTGCACTTGAAAGTGGACCTTCACGCATTTCATTAAGGGCACGATCGAATTCTACGTACCAACGTCGTCTTATGGTTCTCAAATGAGGTTAAAGGAGTTAACATTTAAAATAATAAAATAATCATCGCCTTAAACTCTTTTCGCGTTAATTCCATTATCCATTATAGTAAATGACGAACTTCAACCTGTGATAAAAACAATTGAAACGGGACTTCCCGCCAAAATATATTATAATCAGTTTTGAAAAATAATACATTTGAAATCCAAACAATTATGACCGCAGAACTTTCAGTGTGCCTTATGTATTATAAGGGTTTTTAATGGCAGTGAAATCATCTTCATTATCGTCGTCATCATCATTACAGCCCTTCACAAGTCCACTACTTAGGCCTCCACCCCACATTACAAGCATGCTGTCAGAACATCTCTTCTTTTTTTTGTGTAAATTATTTTGTGTGTTTTGTGTCTTTATTGTGTAATTTGTTTTATTAGCAACATATTCACTATATTTAACGATACTAATAAATACTGACTAAGCTGCACTAATATAAAGAAAATGAATAAACATATACTTTCTTACAGTATTTCTCTATGCTCCTACTATCTCGTATCCAAACAAGATCCTTGTACCATGTAGACAAATTTTAGCTTATGCCACAATACAAGTATTGTAAAATATGACAATTGCCATTCATTTGCATTGCAATTATCATTAAATTTTTATACATATGAAGGCAAATGTAAAGCTAATCAGGTTTCACATTTATTAAACTCTCAACTCTCATCAATAGAACTTTTTCATTGATTCTACATTGTGCAGCTTTTAGTTTTTGTTCATTGGTTATAAAGCAAGTTTCTAGCAGCTTGATAACTGACAATCAGTTTGTATTCAGGTACAACTTTTTAATGAGCAGACGGTCTGTAAATTCTACATTGATGGTTTTTGCTAGTCTTTCATAGGATTATTAATCTTAATTCTCAATCTAAATTATAACATGATCGAATATACTTACCGTCATAGTTTTTTGGTGGAGGAAAGTATTTTATTCCTGAAGAGCATGTTACTTGAATACATTCTGGTCGTAAGAACCCTGAAAAGACAGCAAAACAGTTTGGTTTATTTATTGCATATAATTGCCACATTGAATACTAGAAAAAATTGGACACCTGTTGCTTTGCTGTGCTGTACATTATCTCTCAGATTTTCTATAATATAAAGTCTATGTGGTATATGTTAGGGCAGGCAACTGAGCTTTTGTAATATTTTACGTTGTTAACAGATAAATGGTGCTGACCATCTCCTGTTTAGTTTCCCTTTGTCAGCTCTTACGACACTCCACAAGATGACATAGGGTGGGAGATTGTCTTACGCTGCCACTACATGGCGACTGTAGCATTTAGATCAAAGTTTTTAACATTTTCTAGAAGGAATAACTTTAATTCAAATGCTAAAAGTCAACATTTTCCTTAAAGTAATGGGAAAGCAGATTATGATGAACTATTATTTTTAATTTATTTAATTTACTAATCTATTAAAGAACAATCCTTAACTCAAAAACGTAAATTAATACAGGCAATGCTAACTTAAGAAGTCAAGATATCATTTAATTTGGTGTTATCACGCTGTTGAAAGCATACTGTTCTGTCAGACATTTGAAATTCGACGGAACAAAACGAAGATTATGGAAGTCAAGAGGATAATGATATTGTTGCAACTGAGTATACTGAATTTAAAAAGTTTGGCTCAACTGTACAAACCTACAATCAATTTGAATGTTCAAACATTTACGAGGTTTAGATCTTATTTTTATTAATCTAAAATATATATGAGAATACCAACAGGTTGTATTCTCATATATATTTTAGATTAATAAAAATCATACAAAAAGTATGAAATTCATTTATACAAACCTTAACCATATGAAAATCAGAACTTGCAGGAAATAAATTGTAGAGAAAAATTGAATGTAAAATCTAAATAAGAACTGAATCCGGAATCTCCGGATACACAAACACTGCTATAAGTCCACAACACTGTTTTGCTGTGTATGGGCATAGTTCAAACGGCATCAGCGATACAACAAGTAGGGTAAGTAATTGTTCAAATCTATCATCATACTCTCCGATCGAAAAATGATATTACCTTATTATCAAACTAGTTTTTATGGATTTTATTAACTTATTTTATACTACCGACGTTTCAAATACTTTATAGTACCCATGGTCACAGTATTACGTGGCCTTAAATAGCAGTATTATAAATATATACTCAAATGCTATCAGCACCTAAATGAAGTTGGTAGATCGAATGGTATAGCCCTTCAAGTAGAGGTGGACAAGCTGGTGAGGGATGCGGTAGATATGGCGTGGTCCAAAATGACTTGTTACTTTTTTACTTCTATTTTTATTTTATTTAAAAATTTAATAATATTTTAACTATATGTGTATTTCAATTGCAGCATAAATATTGGCATGAGGAGTTACCACTCGGTAGCCCTCTGGAGATTCCACTTCATGCCAAAAGACGAAGAACCTAGGTAATGGACAACTACCATTCAGGGTAATTGAAATATTTGTAATTTTAATATGAGTCATAGTGAGTGTTCATTCATTCATATGTAGCTCAAGAGTATTTTTATTTAGTTCTTGGTCTACAGTGGCCATATGGAGTCTTCGTCGACAGAGGCCAAAACTTCCGCCCACCAACCTGAACCGTAAATTGAAACTATGTGTTGTAAGTATTTATTGTGAGTATTCAATGAACGTGACTGATGGTTTGTGTATTATTCATGATACCTTTTAAGTGGCGTCATCACTAATCAGAGGGTTCAACACGTAAGTGATTGAACTGTTAAGTGTGTGCGTGTGTTTTTTTTTTAAATTTGAATGAAGTGACGAAACGAGCTGATGGTCCACCTGATGTTAAGTGGTGACCTTTACCCACAACAACAGCTTACTTAGGTAGGGGAGGAAAGCTATAGCCCCATTATTTAGCACGCATGTCACTGAGACATGGACGGTCTGTCTCATATGCCTGTAATTTTACCGGCATCCACACCCATTAAACCAGAACACAGCAATACGAGTGCAATACTGCTTGGCGGCAGAAATAAGTGTGGTTGCACTAACACTCCGGACGAACTTGGCAAACCTGTTGCTGTTGTGTGCATGGGTCATTATTTATATAATTTCGTCGTACAAGGTTTTTCCTATTTAGGCACGACCAGCCATCTGCTGCGATCGCGCAATCACATTCAGTCCCCCCTTCTCCTGCTGTGTTAGTATATTCATTATTATCGACTGGTAACAGGCCGTAAAAAGTGTATTTCTGACTTAGTTGGAGTGATGTTAAAATCAAATAAATTGCTTCAGATACATCAAATGTGGAAGCCTTGCTTTGACACCAAGAGCAAGAATCGCATCGCCCTGCCGACTTCCCTTAGGGGATGAGGAAATCTACGATATTCTTAATTACGGTTGGTAGTTTTTCATTGCACTAATCATTTGAATTAATTTCATGACTTCCCTTAGGGGATGAGGAAATCTACGATATTCTTAATTACGGTTGGTAGTTTTTCATTGCACTAATCATTTGAATTAATTTCATGACTACAGACCTAGGATCGATTTTTGCAGAACAACGTTGGCGAGATATCGTGAAGATCCACAGTTTCTTAACGAGATTTTATGAACAGATTAAACGAACTTGGCAACGACCGTTGGCACATGGAAAATCCACATTTAATGCGTGAAGATCTCTCCCAATACCAATTTAAAGTGAATGTGTGGACCGGAATTTTAAACGGACAAATAATAGGACTATTTGAGCTGCCTGAGAACTTAGATGGCGACAACTACCCAATTTTTTTACAAAATCATTTGCCGAATTTATAAGAAGATGTACCACTAAAGATCTACCAGTATATGTAGTTTCAACAAGATGGTTACGTAGCGCATTATGCTCGTCCAGTAAGGGATCATCTAAACACAGAATATCCCGGTAGGTGGATTGGATGTCTGGTACAATTTTATAGCCTCCTCGTTCTACGAACCTAAAACCACTTGACTTCTTTTACGAAAAAGTGTACTTGAAACCAATATAAAATATATCCGAACTATGCCACAAAATAGCTGAAACATTAGAGGAAATAAACTCGAGAAGGAATGCACAATTAGTGAAAAGATCTTTTCTGTGAAGATATAGAGCCTGTATTCGTGCCAAAGGCAAAGATTTTGAACATTTAATTTAGCTTTAAGAAAAAATAAATGTACTACAATATTTCCTAGTCTTTCATTATTGTTAACTTTGGCCATAATATATAATAGGGCATCATTATCATACTTTGATATTTTGTTGGTTCGAGTTTTTTATGTTCTAAATTATTGATAATCGTGATAATATTTTTTATGAAAAGATAAGTAGCAAGTGTTGCACCATTTTGAAATCTTAATTAAATGGACCATTTTTTAAAACAACTTGCCTATGGTAGTATAGTACTTTTTTTTTAAAGACAAGACATCAAAGTTATGTGTTGAAACATTTTTAAGCATGACTTAATTAAACTTTTTTTTTTCTAAACTCACAATATTAATTATTGGATTTGTGACGGCAATAAATAGCATAGTTATTTAGGATTACATTAAAAAAACACTGAAAAATTTAGATTTTGTGATCACAGTACCTAAATATGTGATCTAGGATGTTGATTTTCAAAATTTTCAAAAGTATACCTATTATCACTTAACCAAGTAATGTTTTTTTTTGCTAGAACTAGTACAACCTAGCTTATGGCCCCGAATCACTTGACATTGAGTTTCGGGACAACCTGTATATATAATAGATATTCATACTAAATCATTGAGATATCTGTGAAAGAATGTATCTGGTCCCACCCAGCACAGTATCATGTACAGGCAGTCCGCCAGATGTGGGGATATCGATTTAAAAAAAACACTCATTGAAATTAACTCTTATTCTTAATTTACCATAGTCTAGATTTTAAATTGTAGACTGATCTTATGGCCAGCTTCTGCATAACAAATATAATTTCAGTGTTAGTTTCATGTTTCTCCATAACAAAATACCAAATGACATTATTCTGTTATTCAATCAAGATAACTACAAAGTTACCTTGATTGCGGCTTGCAATCCTGATATTTATGAATACATATAATTGGGCTCCAGATGACAGTTATTTTTTTATATGATTCTATACTATATTTACATTGTCATATATAGTAACTGTCATTTTAGTTTGAAAATTAATCATTACAAAATCTTATTTTATTAGTCTATGATTATTGATAAACTAAATTATACACAGCAAAGCCAGCAGATAGCACACAGCACATCAAAAAAGGCAAAAATGTCGGCATAAACAGGTCACAGGCTCATAGGTCATGGCATGCAGAATCCAACACTTTTTTTTATATTATTTTAAGCCAGCGCTTAACTACAATCCCACCTGATGGTATGAGGTGATGTAGCCTAAGATAGTGAAGCGCTTACTTAACAAAAGCCTATTCACCCTTGCCTTGAAGACACCCACATTGTAACTGGATGGAAACACAGATGCTGGCAACTTATTCCACTCCTTTGCTGTACGCATGATGAATGTGAACGGCAGGGTCGGGAAGGGACGCCCTAGACGAAGGTTTATCGACCAAATCGGCGATACATTAAAAATGGGCCAGATTAGGAGTACCCTTAACCGACGAGCGTGTATGCGTAGATATATGGATGTAAAAGAGGCGAGAGAGGTGTGTCAGGATTGCGCCAAATGGAAGTCCGTAGTCTCTGCCTACCCCTCTGGGTGACAGGCGTGAGTGAATGACAAACACAGGTCTAAAATAATTGAATCTGTATAGTCCTTAAATCTATCACTCGCATTTGGGTTGTGACTGAATATAAGGGATTCAATCAATCGTGGTTAACTGTCTGTTTGCACGGATCTGTATTTGCGCTTGCTGTTATGGGGCTACCACTGAAGAATCTTTTTTTCTCAATTTGATTGCTGAATCTCTGAACTCTATGGCTGGCCCATATCCACATCAGCTTGCTGGTCCTTTGGGCTATGTCGATTACTATAATTTTACTGTGATAATCGTTTTAAATTCTATCACGTCGTTAAACTCCTAGTATAGACCTTTCCATAACTCCCCGAGTAACTTCAAGCTTTTTAATGCGACTAGCATTGATGTATTACGTTACAGTTCCATAGTCACTGGCATCTTTATTGAGTTTGGATAGAACTATGTACCTATATAGTTAAATATTTCCATTCTCATCAAAAATCCACAAGCATTTAATAACTAAGTAACTTATTAACTTACCTAGAGTTTGTTTAAGGCTCCTAATAAACATTTCGTATTTTTAAACATATAATGTACTGTATATGGGTTTTAACATAAACCAATAATTCTCTCTATTTAAATTAATTTTTCTTGAACATTACGACACAAACCATTAGGCACAGAGTACATTATATATAGCCATTCGGATTCGGTACAAGTACACGATACACGTGACCTGATTTGATTTGACAAATGACAATTGATTGTTGTTGTTTTTATTATTCGCTCGAGAGAGCAGACAAAGGAACTAAGCCATACAGTCTTGTCCTTTTTATTATGAATAGATAGAATTTTAAAGTGTAAAGGCCGGAACCAAGGCTTATTTTTCTTCTTTCCATCTCTTTAAAAATCCATAAAGGTCGAAGCCAAGTCTTCTTTATATTATAATCTTTGTAAGTTTCAATCCATGTAGATTTGTCAATCCAATATTTTCAAAAATATGGATACCATATTTCATATTTCTTTTACAGTATTATGAATAAAATTGCAAAGTGCTAAATATGTCTTAGTATTCCTAAGAACATCTTGCAGGGCACGCGGGACGCTTTCTGAGTTTTCATAAACTTGTATAAGTTTTTCAATGAGTAGCAATCTTTCTATGGCGTACGCTGGGCAGTTAAATATTATATGTTCTGTAGTCTGATCTGCTTCTGTATCGCAGAAGTTGCATGTTGCAGATGCTACTATTCTCATTCTGGAAAGATGAGCGTTCAGTCGATAGTGGCCAAATCTAAGTCTGCACATTATTGTGTAAAATTTTTTGCTATAGTATCTCTCATTGCGAGAAAACCAAGGAATACTTAATTCTGAAGTAATTGATGCATACCAACGACCTTTTCCAGCCTCTAAAACAGCATTCCATTGCATTTTCCATTCTTCTTTTAACTGTTGCTTTAAAATTGAATATAAATCTGTATGTGGTATTGCAACACCGGTTATCCTGTCATTATCAGCTGTAACTATACTTTTAGCTAAATGGTCTGCGCCCCGCCTAAGGGTATTAGTGTTCTGTGGTCTGCGCTTTCATTTCCTTGAACACTAATATGGGACGGAGTCCATAAAAATTTTACTTCCAAATTATTTTCTTTCAATTTCCACCACAAACTTTTGATTTCATATATGATGAAAGACGTTTTAGCATCTAAAGTTCTTGCCTTCAGTGCCTTCAAGACACTCATGCTATCAGAGATCAGTAACCATTTATTACATACATGTGGGTGTTCTTCTATTTATTTAAGAGTGATTAAGACAGCATAACATTCTGCAGTGTATATGCTTGCTGATGCAGGAATGGAAAGGCCACGTCCAGTTTTCAGTTGAGGTATGTGAAATGCACAGGCTACTTTATTTTCAACTTTTGAACCATCTGTGTAAATTTGTCGATATTCATCATATGTAGATATAAGTTCTTAAACCTCTTCTTTTCTTTTCAATTTTTCATCAATATTTATATGTATATCACTGAATTTACTTTCATAATTCCCTTTATAACAAGGCCAAGTATATCTGCTTTTGTGAATATTATATTGTTCATCATATCGTATCACTTCATGAAAGTCATGGAGTATATATTGGGCTGAGTTAGATATAGGAGACATACTATTATAGTAAAATAATACTTTTTGAAAAAGAGGATGATGAGACAAAGAATTAATATTTAATAAAAACCTAAAATTCAGATATTTAAACCTAAGTAAGATAGGAGGAGTAAGACATTCACCCTGTAAAGAAACAATAGGAGTTGTTCTCATAGAGCCGGTAATAAGTCTTAAATTGTTTTTATATGTTGCTCTAATATTTTACCCATACAAGATAGCACTTAGCTATAGGTCTGTAAGATTCTGCAATGTGAGGTTTTCTTCCAGGCTTTAAAATGGGTAACAATCTTCTTTCCAATCGTTAGGAATAAGTGAATGAAACCATAACATATTATATATTTTCAAAACTAGTTCTCTACACGCAGTATTCATATTTTTTAAAGCTTTATATGGAACAGAATCTAAACCACAAGTAGTGTCCTTTCTAGAGTTAACAGCTGAATTGAATTCGGTCAAGGTAAAAGGTTTGGTAAGATAATCACAATGATTATCATTTGAGGAGTGAGGAGTTAGGGGTGATTCATTTGTTTCTGGAGTATATTTTTTCAAAAATCCATTAGCTCAATTAGAATCTATGACTGATGTGTTATTATGAACAAAAGTTTTGTTAAGCTTTTTAATGTTATTCCATACTCTAGTCAATGGAGTAGATATATAAAAAGTTTCAGATAGTATTTTCCTAAGCTGTCTTTCAGTCTTCGAAGTATTTTTTTATCAGCTTGTAGTCTTCTAAAATTAATATAATTTCGTTCTGTGGGATCATTCTTAAATACTAAATATGCATTTTTACAATTTAATACTGCCTCTTTGCATTTTAAATTCCACCAAGGTAGAGATTTTTTTTTTATTTCTTTTAAGAGATTGCAAGTTGATGTTAACATTTTGATTAGAAGACTGATTGGATGGTGTGGATTTATGCATGGCTTGTTTAACTAGTTCTATTAAATCTGTATAACATTGTAAAGGATTACTATAATCAAAACTATAATTTTTAATAAAATTATCTATTAAATTTGGATATTTTGACCAATCTACCAATTTTTAGTTTATGTTATTTGATACAGCTGTTTCTTGAAAATATGGATTATTGACCGTAATTTTTGTCTTTACAGGAAAATGATAGCTGCCTAGAGAATCATCATCACATACTTGCCACTCACAAGACAGAGGCAGTGAAGATGAAACAAGTGTCAAGTCTAATGCATTCTGCCTCCATCTATGAGATCCTACTGTAGAACTGTAGTCATCTGACCATCATTCAAGATTATAAGATTGTTGTCATCTATACTTGCAAGAACATCCCTACCTCGTGAATCCAATTCAGTACATCCCCATAACGTGTAATGGGCGTTGAAACCACCAGCTATAAAGACTGGCTGTGGCAAACTTTGGATTAAATTATCTAATTTGGATTTATTATAATTAATTGGTGAATTAGGGGGACAGTAAACACTAACTAAAGTTAATAATTTATCATTATATTGTATTTGTACAGCTATATTTTGTAATGAGCCATCAGAGAATGTATTGATAACACGAAATCCAATTTTGTTATGTAGAAGTATTGCTACACCATTATGATCATTACCTGAATCTAATCGTATAATATTATAACCTTTTACTCTAAAATTGTGCCTAGGTTCTACAGAAGCCAAGTTTCACATATCAGAGCAACATCTATAGTGTTCTCATATAAAAATTGTGTAAATTGAAAGCGATTTTTAATTAAACTCTGTGCATTCCATTGTAAAATGTTAAACTGATCCATAAAATATTAAATTTTAAATGATGAAATATCTATTTTAGTTTCATTGTATCTTTAACAAGCTGAGAAGATATGGTGGATTGTTCATTTGATTTATTAAGAGTTAATACTTTAATGACTGTATTAAAAATTATATTAATAATGTCATCATTCTTTAGCAGTGACATAAGAGCATCTTTAGGATTTTTTTTGTTTAATTCGGGGAATTCATTTATATTAAAGAGGTCTACAAACAGGGTTTTGTGTAATTTAGCCTAATTTTCTTTCATCTTTTGTTTCTTAACAGGACACTGTCCAGAAATGCTTAGATGGTTTCCTTTGCAATGTATGCATATCGTTTTATCTGAAGAGACTTGGCAATCTTTGTAGCTGTGATTTTCAGTAAAAATTGAGCATTTCACAGAATTTTTACAGTACTTTGCTAAGTGGCCATACCTACAGTTGTAGCACTGCTTCACTGGTGGAATATACTGATTTACCACAAACTGCCAACCATGAAGATCGACGTGGTCCGGCAAAATATTAGAAGCGAACGTGATGGCCACGGTGCCCGTCGGCTGCAACAAACTGCGTCCTGCGTCATTCTTATGTTTCTTCATTATCCTTTTAACACATATTATCTTCCTGTAAGTCGTTAACATACCAAAAATTCTTGAATAAGAAAGATTAGTGGGAACATTAGTTAAGACTCCTGTTATTTCTATCCCTACAGCTGGGATTGATGCCTTAATTTTGTATTCATTAAGAAATGTAACATTATTTAAAAATGCATTCGCTAGAGAGGGCTTTTCAAAATGAACGCCTATTTTGTCTTTATTCATAGATTGCAATTATTTAATGCCTTTATTGAACCTCTTCATATGTGTGGACAGAGACATCATGTTCCGCATGCCGATTGGCCTTCTTTCATCATTTGATTCGACAAAGACAACAAAATCAACGAGGACAGAGTCCTCAGGGTACCTCCTGTTGTAGTCAGATACAAAGTACGGCTTATACTTGCGCTGGTCTTTCTCAGAATCTTCCTCAGTACTGGTATCAACTTCTTCCTCCTCAGTCGTTTCTTCAAAGACTTCTTCTTCTCCCGGCAACTTTTTTTTCTACGTTTCCCCATGATGAGGAAACCCAGTAACAATAAAACAATAAAATTTAGTGCCTTTTAACTAAACAAAACCAAATTAAAATTTTAGTTTAAAAAAAGGCGCCTATCACGTTTCAAGGTTCCCGCGCTTTTTCAAATGACAATTGACATTTGACAACCAGTTGTTGTTGTTCTTTTTTTTATTTATTTGTCACGATTTATCATTTCAAAGTTGAATACAATATAAATAATAATTTAATAAAATAAAATAAGGGTTGGCTATAGATATCCGGTACTTGATTTTAATTATGTTTTCAGTTTAGGAGGCTTGTTAGGGCTAAGCATGAACCTTTTACACTGTCTAAAAATTCCGTATAATGAAACGTAAATATGACAATTTTGTATAGTGTAAGGGCGCGATCCGACGACAAACACACGCTACGCGCACGCCACCCATGTCAGCACCCGCGTCTAACTCGCTTTGAAATTTGTTGCATATAATTTGAGTCTTTTGACAAATCAATAAATCTGAAATTGCATTTATCGACGTTCAACCGCACACGCCTCGCACACACCACGCGCCCGCCTCGTTCCCGCTCCGCCCGGCCCCGCGCTCACCCCGCGCTTTTTATACAATTTCATATTGACGTGCTGAAGTTCGGCGGCCAGATGTTTTCTGTTACAGAACCGTCG